CATAGAAAATGAAATAACACAAAAATTAAAAACTGAATTGACAAAATTATATCAAAAACAAAATAATAAAATAAAAATATTACGAGACAAAATAAGAAACAAATATAATAACAAATTTCAACAAAACGAACCACCACACCCTTTCGCATATTGCATAAAAAATTTAACTAATATCCAATTCACACAAAACGAATATAATTTACTAAATAAAGGTTTAAAATATAACCTACATTACAAACAAAAAACATGGATCATAAATTTAGCACTAGAAGCAGAAACTTGCTATAAATTTAATTCCTATACAAAAACAAGACCATATACGACATAGTAGCTAATAAAATTGAACACCTACTTAAACAAAACAAAAAAGGAACGATCAATATAATGAAACACATATCAATGAATGGAAAAGAATAAAAAGTATTAAACAAAAATTACAACATAATAAATTAACAATTACACAGGCAGATAAAGGTAAAACCATTATAATACTATCTATAGAACAATACCAAAAATACATTACTCAATTCATAAATAAAAATTCATTCGCACAATTAACACAAAACCCAACATTAAAATACCAAAAGGAAATATAAAAAATAACCCAAAAATGTAATAACATTTTTAACCCCCCTAAAACGCAATACTATAACCATAGTGCTACTGCACCAATTATCACAGGACAAATTAAACTACACAAGAATCCATATTCTATTAGACCACTAATAAATTGGACATCCGTCCCAGCATACAAAATATCAATAAAAATAGCAAACATTTTAAAAGAATATTGTAATCTACCAAATACGTTTAATATAATAAATTCCATTAAATTAATAAACGAAATCCAAAAATTAAATTTTAATAATAATAAAAATATACAAATTTGCTCATTTGATATAAATAATATGTATACAAACATTCCCACAACTATGCTACAGGATATTGTAAGAGATATTCTAGTTAGACAAAATATAAATATGGATCTAATAAACGAAATTACGAATATAACTAATATTATCATTAACCAAAACTATTTCCAATTCAACAATGAATATTGGAAACAAGAAACCGGATTACCAATGGGGGCACCTACATCAAGCATACTATCTGAAATATTCTTACAATACCTTGAACATAATTATATTATAAATATACTAAACAAAAACCAAATAAAATATTACAGCAGATATGTAGATGATATACTTATGATTTTTGACACAAAAAATACAAAAATAAAAAATGTTTTAAATGAATTTAACAATATAAACCAAAATATACAATTCACATTAGAAACAGAACAAAATAACAAATTAAACTATTTAGATTTTAACTATAATGCGTAACACAAATAATTTCGAATTCAAAATATACAGGAAACCCACAAATACAAGCACCATAA